CCTGTCCTCCTTTGTAAAGTATTTCCTCCATTTAGAATTAATTGTCCTATAGATAAAAAAAAAAAGGAGTGATCTTAAATTAGTACTCAAAGACCTAAGTTTCACTTTAGCATTGTGAAAGAGTTCCAAAGTCAAAGCCTATTTTGAAACAAATGGAATTATCCTCTTATGTTATATATTAAACAATAACTGTACAAGTGCCCAAACTGGCAATGGTTTTTACAGCTTTTGCAACATCTAAGCTCAAAGTAACATTCATGGATTTTTGTTGGTCACCTATGGAAAAGTAGTTGGACATACCCTCTGCTGTTTCTAATTAAATTAATTTCACAGCTCCACATTTGAGCCATTCCCCAAATGGCTACCAATGCCCTGGCAGTTCTCAAGGAGAGCTGGAAATTGTTGTTGCAGCCGTCACATCAGACAACAGATCCTGACGATGCTAAATAAATGTTTTCCAAGAATTCTGACTTTCTTTTTCCATCACTAACAGAAACCTATACTAGCCCACTCCAACTCCCATCACCAGCACAACAATCTCTCCCCCAAACACTTAAGAAAAAGAAAGACTGCAATGCTTATAGGGTAGTAGAATTTACCTTACTGATTTGAACATAGCACTTTATGGCCACAAAGCACTTTTACAAAATGTATCCAATTTTCCCTTCACAATTCTACGAGGAGGAGTCCCATTTGAAAGAGTAGAAAACTGAGGTGCAAAAGTCAAGAGACTGTCCCAAGATTTCAGACTTTGTATATATGGAACTTAGAGCCAGAACCTATGTTTTTGTACCCCCAGAGAGGGGGGGTTATGATGTTTATAAAGTATAAAACTTTCAAAAGTAGGTTAGATGTGTCAATAAAACAACAAACTATCAACAATAGTATCTAAAGTACATTTCATTGAAAAAGTTGGATGAAATATTTCCCTGAGAATACATATGCATCACTCACAGTGTTTCAGAAAGAACAGGCTTCTGGAGATCAGACTTCAAGTCCCAGCAAAACTACACACCAGGTACATGAGCTTGAATGAGGCACTTAACCTCTTCAGTTTGGCTCCTGCTTTTGTAAAACTGCTTCTTCTCGCAGTTAGGAGAATGGATATTTATACAATGGGAAGCTCTGTATGCATGCTATCTACCATCATTATCTTTATAAAACTGAATTCATGCCCCAAACATTTTGGCTCTCTGGTTCCACAGTCATTCGGAGCAAAAATCTTAGTGTCATCCCTATTACTCAGCCTCATATCCAATTCAACTCCCTTCAGGATACAGTCTAAACTCCTTAGTTCAAAATGTCCCTTCATGATATGGCCTCATCTCTCTATCTTTCAGTATTTCAAATTTCTCTGTGTTTCAATAGGAATAACTAACCACTTCATATGATTTTCTAATGCTTTTGACATGTCTACCTCTGTGTCTTTGCACATGCCAGGGTCTTCCTGGAGCACCCTTACTACCCATCCTCATCTGCCTAATTCCCTTATGTCCTTCAAGACTCAGCTGAAGCTATTCTGGGAAGCCTTTCTCAAACCCTACAGTCTCAAGTAAACATATTGCTTTGGGCTTCCACTGACCCTACACACCTCTATGCCAGTCTTCACCACTGCTGCATTAGTTCCATCTCTTTCTATATTGTCCAACTGAGCTTTCTGCCATATTGGAAAAGTTCTATGTCTTGCTGTCCAATACAATAGCCACTAGCCACAGGTGGCTATTGGGCACTTCAAAGATGGCTAGTTCAGGGGCCAGCCGAGTGGCTCGTTGGTTAAGAGTTGGCTTGGGAGTGCGAGCTCTGAGCAGCAGGGCTGCTGTTTTGGATCCCACATGAGGGCCAGTGATGCTGTGTCCTCTACAGCTAAGATGGTGAACAACAGCTTGACCTGGAGCTGGGCCGCTGTGAGCTGCCAGCGATGGCATAGGCTGCAGTGGGGCTGGCCGGCAGTGGGCATGAGCTTTCATAAGCTGCCATGAGCGGCCATCCAAGGGCCAGCGAGCGACTGCCTCAGCTGGGAAGAGCGCAATGATCACAATACTAACATGGGCCAGTGAAGCGATGTCCTCCAAAACTAGACTGAAGAATAAAAGGACAGCAACTTATCTGTTCTCCTTCCCCGATTCCCCAATGCTGTTCCCTCCCTCAATTCCTCAATAAAATCTTTAAAAAAAAAAAAAGATGGCTAGTTCAGTTATGGAACTGGATTTTAAATTTTCTTTAATTGTAATTATTTTAAATCTAAATTTAAATAACTACCTGTGGCAAGTGGCTATGGTGTTGGACACCAAAGCTCTAGATAGGTTGTCAACTCCAAGGACAAAGACCATACTTACTAGTCTCTGTATCCCTGGCACCCACCACAGGTAGGTGGTGACATGTAGCAGGATTCAGTATTTGTTGGAAGAATAAGTGGGCGTGTAAATATCTATACACACTTCTCATATATGGTTGGGAAGTGACTCCACCGAATACTCCAGCCATTCTGGATCATCATATAAAATTTGGCCAAACTGGTCACATCTTGTAAAGTGCACTTCAGTAAAGCATCATGGGAGGAAAAACACCAAAAGCAACCCTCAGTAAATCATTCATTTCTGCTCAGGCACTTCAGCTTCACAATCACTCTTAAATGACTTCCAGATGACTTCTTGACTAATGGTTATGCTGTTTATGAAATATTACAATAGTCATGGCAGCATCATTTTGGAATGTCAAAATCAACTACACTGTTTTGTAAAGAAAAAACATGGGCTTTTTACCATGTTTATATTAACATGGGAAAAAATGCCCTGGAATGCCTGAAGTATTCCCAGAGTATGAAATACTACTCTGAACTATTTGTTAAACTTAACCAACAGCTCTCCTAACTGAACGCAATATTGAAACCCCATGCAATATTTGGAGGTGTACTGAATTGATTTGATGGGCCCACATCACTGCAACAGCAGAATACGGAGAGAACATGACCCAACTACAAAGAACCAGTGGTCAAATTCAATTTGGTTCCAATTAAAAGTCTCGGTTGACAGAATTCATGAGCTTGACATATGCTTGGTCATTTGAGATTTTAAGAAATCCAAGATGTGAGCTGCACAAAGCAGAGACTAAGCAGGTTTTGACTTCACATCCAGGTCCTCACTCCAAAATGCCTCAGAGTGGAGCAGGCAAGCAAAGGCATCAGCAAAGGTGGTCTGCACACAATGGCCCCACCCAAAGAAAGGTGAGCTTCTCCATTTCCTGTGGGGCGCATCACCTGTCCCACAGCGGTTATACAATAGCTGAACAACCACTTGTTAATGTCCTTTCATTGCATAATTACTTCTGTAAAGGGAGACTAATCCTAACTCTAAAACTGTATGTGAAATACAAAGGAATAGGTAAGGCATCTTAAAGCTTGATTAGGAGCGGTGAGGAATCAGGCTTCAAGTACATACATAGTTCACTCTTTTTAAATTCAATTTAAAATTTTAATTAAAAATAAATAACTATTTATTACACAATAATCAATGTGCACTAAATTAAAAAAAAAACAACAACACAGGCCAAAATAAAATAAAACATACATTTACTCGTTTTACCCAAAGATAATATGGGGTATACATACATTCCACTGCTTTTTTTTTCTTATGCACTTTTAAAATAAATACTAGCTAGCATTTACATACCACTCTTTCTGCTTCATGCACTGTCCTAAGCAGTTAACATCTATGAATTCATTCTGTCTTCACCACAATACTACCAGGGAGGCACTGTGGCTATCTGCACCTCACAGACAAAGAAACTGAGCAGAGGGAACTTAAGTAACTTGATCCAGTTCACAAGCTTGGAAGTGGCAAATAATCTCTGCTCCGTTTTTTGCTGTGGGAACATGATGTTCAACTAAGTAGTGTGGGAAGAAAACTTTCTCCAGAACTTTATTAAATCCGTAGCTGCTATTTCAATACTCCGTCCGAGGCAGGGAGCGCAACCTGCCTTGTTTTACATTTGATTCCTGTGCGCGAGCTGGGGGAGGGGCTGGGCTAAGGCAGGAGACACTCACTGATTTGCATCTAATACTCAACATCTGGGCTGTGAGGCTCAATCTGCAATATGAATTTAGATTCCTTCAGGGCTATGTCTCTTTGATGTTCTTAGTATCAAACTGTAATCTTCTTACCTCCACATACTACATAATCAATTAGCTTGGTCATTTAAACGTCTATATTTAACTTGAGTCGAGTCTGATTTTCCTTTTTCCACCTGGATTCTACACACACACACACACACACACACACACACACACACACACGCACTTCCCAATTCCTTAAAAATCTAAAAGTGTCTATTTTAACTATGAACTTCACAAAAGTGGGGAGAGCAAAACACAATGGAGGTTAAAACAAGGGGAAAGACATTTTCCACAAAGTAAACCGTTCAGCTGGAAATGTGATATGCAGCTGACAAGTTCAGAAACATTCTTGAAGTTACAGGTGTTCTCAGAGACCGGGAAGCTGTTCCTTGCCTTCACCCCATCCGCCAAACCCATCCGCAAATGTCCAAAGGGACCTACGCTGGGTTTTCTGTTTGCTCGCGCTGATACCATCTGGTGTATCATGACCCTGCCATGCCTTGTATTACTTTTTATGGTTGTGTTACCCATACAGCAACTCCTCTGACAACAATGGTAATTACACAGCAGCCTTGTTGTCTAGGGCCAACACTGTAATTAACTTGTGTCACTGCAGCATCCATGGTTATAATTGCAGCAAAAAAAAAAAAGTCTTATGGAAGTAGCATTTTTAGTTCTTGCTTTCAAAAATAACTTGACCAATTACACTGCTTAAAAAAATCAAACTTGTTTCCTTCCCCCCAAAAAAACATGGTTTCCTTTGCACAAAGCCCGCTGAAGCTATCCGTATGCCCCGTAACAAGATACATTAGCTGGCCTGTTGTAAGAGCGTCTAAAATGAAGAGGGAAAACAAACAAACAAACAAACATTTCTCCAAGTGATACTTACAGCTCCTCCAGGAAAGGGAAGTTCTTAAATGCATCTTCTGGTAATTGAGTAATGTTGTTCATGCTGATATCCCTGGGAAACATAAAGTTAAGAAGATCGTTAACTAAGTGATATTAGACTTCGAGCACTCAATTCAACAGAAAAATAATTAGGTGCTGAGATTTTGCAAAGAAGCAAGAAAAATGAGCATTAGATGACAGACACAGGAAGTGCCATAATTTGGCTTCAGAATGCAGAAAACAGAGAAAAGTTAAATCTTGTATTATAAATGATGTCCCATAGTTTAGAAAAGCACCCAGATCCTGGGTTTGCCTTGGGAACAAGGCTTACGAACACCATCTGCAATGAGTGAGTGGGTCAGTGTGGCTTCCCAGTGCTCTGTATTCAAAGCGCTGTACCTGACAAAATAGACAAATACCCCAGGACTTCATTAAAAAAAAAAAAATTTGCTGGCAAGCGTGGCTCTTTATGCCACTGTCAGGAACAATAAAACAGGTCCTAGCTGTATCCCAGTCATATTTTCTGCAAAACCTATAAAAGTCCTCCAGGTAATAGCTGTAAGTGGATTTCATTTTTAGCCTATGAACAGATGCAAGCTAGAAACAAGCGCATACATGACAGGTATGCAGCCCATTTCCAGCTTTCCCTTAGAGAGGCACCAGAAAGGAGAGAACTTGCTTGACAATGTAACTCAACAATTAACTAGTTTAAACAGCTAAAACATACTTTATTAACCATTTCCTTCTTCCCTGGCAGCTGCCTATTGAACTGGCTTTCTCCTTCCATACTCCACTTAATATCGAAAAGTGAAAGACAGGTTAGCAGCCTCTTAAGGGACAGTCCCACTCCGCAATGGGCTGGTTGCCTCACTCAGGTTCTTCTGCCTCTTGTCTCGTGTTAAAGTCTGTGGCTGAGCCCTCAAAGCCTCTCCTTTCTAGAAATCACCATGAAAATTCACACCTGTGATCATCCCTTTACCAGATTAGACATATTGGTATAAAAAGGCAGAAGAGAAACAAAGCACACAAAAACCAGCCAACCACAGAAACACTGTCATTTTTATTACTTCAGTCAGGTACAATTTTCCTTGAAAGGTGACAACTTCAGTACCAACGTAGGTGAGTCTCTTCTCCCCAACTTTCTTTTCACTAAAATTTAGAAATGGAATTTGCATCCCTCCTTACTAGTAAGCCCTTCCCAAGGCAGGTTTGGAAAACTTTTTGGCTTGGGCATAAGAATAACTGCAGCAACTAAAAACAACCATAGGAATAGCTAACATGTAGAGAATACTGATAAGACTGCGCATGAAATCTTACTTTACAAATGGGGAAACTGAGGCTTACTGAGCTTAAATCATCTCCCCAAGGCCACTCAACAAGTGGTGGAACAACAAGGAATGGGAACTCCAGGGTCCATGACCTTAACTGTGAGTCTTCTTAAATATCATGTGAATCCTGTTACTTCTCTCCAGTGGTAGTCAAGGTATAAAGCAGACCCTCTGTCCCACTATGGTTAAAAAGATGGAGGGATACCGCCCCCAAGACCTTGGCACAATCATCAATGAAACTCAGAAAGAACACTTTTGCTCGATGATTTAAAACAAAACAAAACTATTAATAGCTTTAGCAATTCAGGAACCAAAGTTCATATAAATGTCCTAGAACATGAAACTTCTCTTGAGATGAACCTTATGACCAGAGACTCACATGCATTCCAAAATTTTATTTCAAATTCTGTTAAAGATAACTTGTAAGAAAAATGAAATTAATATGCTTCTTCAGGGTCTCCGTATTTACAAACTAATATATGTTAAACTAACATGTTAAATAATTATTTTTAAACACAGGCCTGATACTACTTTAGTCAGCTTTCATTCTTCCCGGGGCCGGGGAAGGAAACCCTTTGTTTTTCATAAACAAGCAAGATACTGGAGCAATGGCACCAAAATAGGGGTCAGAAAAATCAGGCTCCACTCCTGCCACAGCCCATAGCTGCTGTTTAATCCTAGGCCTCACTTTGCTCATCTGTAAGAGGAGGGAGGTGAATTGATTGGCTGAGTGTCTTCCAAGCCTGACATTACATACTCCCATGATTCACCTTTTTCTGCAGTACTCATTCATCCAGGGGCACACCCTTTATGATGGAAATACATGCACTTCGTTTTATGGAAAGGTCATGTTTATGAAAAATTTACTCAACACAAAATTTAAAGACTATTCATTCGCAATTATAAAACTGAGTCACTCCCACTGTAAACACATTTGGCCTTCACAAGTAAAATCACTCTTAAGAATACAACAAAACTTTTCATCGTATTGAAAAGCAAACTAATAATCTGAGAACACAGCGATTCCATAAAATATCACACAGTTTGGGTGCTCTTTAGTCATATCCAATAAGTGGAGAAAGTGGGACAACCGTAATTTATTGCTTTACAAAAGGAGACACTCCATACAGCTGCCTCTTAACTTTGGCACACCTGAGTTCAGGTGTATCATAGTAACAGAAAAACTGATTAATTGCCTCACCAGAAAAAGACACATAATTAGAGAGAATTTATACTACATTATTCTCTGTATTCCAATTTTTTAAAACACATACACCTATATAATTCTCTCTCTCTCTTTTTTTTTTTTTTTTCCCTCAGAGGAACAAGACCTAACAGGTAGGTTTGCTCTGAGCTATAAAGGCAATTACTGGGACTCTATATTTACAAATGAATGTATGTTCAACACGAGGTAGTTTTGTTTCAAAGCTTCACATTCAGGGGCAACACTTGTTTCCAAATTGTTCTAAATTTCACACACCCCAAGTTTCTCTCTTCATATGTGCTTTCCCTCCTACTTTCCAGGGCTTCAGTTACAAAACATTGGTGAATAAAGTTAAAAAGGTGCTACAAGATGTTATCTCCAGAAAAGCACTGGAAACATGTGGTTACAGAGTATAAAGTGGGTGGGTACTCATTTAAAATAATGAGGGCTAATGGTGATAAACAACCTACAGACAGCCTTCCGAGTCCATTCCAGACCTGACACCACCAACACCAGCAAGCGAGCCGTAACCCTGGAAAGGGTGCTGGCGGTGATGAGTTAACTGTAACAAGTTACAGATGGAAGCGCTATGCCAGTAATTACACATATATTAGGCTCATAAGCCATAGAAATTATCAAAGTACATAAGAAAAGAAAGTTGTACAGAAATTTTTCAGCTAGAAGATACATCTCCAGATCAGTAACCCTGACATAAGGCGATGCAATCTTACCAGAAACATCTGGAATTAAAACAGTGATTAGCCACCCTGGGTTCCAAGAAGAAAAGAAATACAACATCAGAACCAAAAAAAATCATTCAAGGTCAGAGCACCACCAACTCATCAACACCTCTGAAGGGTAATTTCAAGACAACTGATGGGTTTCCTTGAAGGGAGCTCCGAGTAGTTGGAAGGCTTGGGAGCCAGATGGACCAAGGGCTACCTACAGATTCACTACCTGGGGCAAGCTGTTCATCTTTTCTCAGCCCTGCTTTCCTCATCTGGAATAATGGAAGTAGTAATGACTAGGTAAACCTTTGTAGACTGCTGTGAAGATCAGAAAATGGCAAGCCACATATAAGAAGCTAAGTAAGCAATAGTATTATCTTATCATCATCCATGTTTTTGCTGCGCTTGGAAGCTGTCTGAATTCAGCGGACCCAGAACGGGCTAAGGGCAGGTCAGGCATCACTCCGCCTTTGCGGCCTTCCTTCCCAGAAAGAAACCCCTGTTGCACAAGAGAAACACTAAATGGTGCAGAAGACTTAGAAGCTGATGTTGTTCCTGCCTATAAAAACTACACTCTAAACTCTAGAACCCCAAGTGCCAAAGATTTTAATTGGAAGAGCCCTTCAAGATGAAATGATTCATCTTAAAAGATAAAAGTTGAGGCCCAATTGCTAACAGAGTGAAGCACTCAGGAAGGAAGGAAGGAAGGAAGGAAGGAAGGAAGGAAGGAAGGAAGGAAGGAAGGAAGGAAATGAATTCCATTCTTATAGAAAACTTTTGAAAGAACAAGGGAACACAAGAGCCACTTTCAAAAAGATCAGGATGACCTCAAGCAGTTTAGTGATAAAGCAGGAGCTACAACCTAGAACTTTTACTTGGGGGAGTGGGATTCTTGAATGTATCTTTTCTATATGTATTTATTTGTTTTGTAACAGATTTCTTGATAGTTAGGTCTCTCAAGTTCCACTAACTGGAACAGAGCATACATCTGCATGCATATTACACTCACACAATGCAACACTTGCACATTTTTCACACAGAACTCAGAAATACAAAAGTATATCGCCCCACTAGAAAAATGAAGCTCAACACTCAAACACCAGTAGTCACTGATTTCAAAATTAAAAATTAAAGGGTGCAATTGTTTAATTTAAACTGCTAAATCTCCCCAGTGGTTAAACTCTCATCTTTTTTTTCCTCATAAAATTCACTAATGCTAAAGTATCTAGACAGTAAAGAGGAACATCATGTTTCAACAAGGTACCTTTTCAAATCCCTGTAAAAAGCTCCCTAAGCCAGCCTAACCTGTTTGCAATGGCCAAGTGTGTACCACTGTGGGCTCTGCCACTGCGTGCTTGCCAGGTCCGCCCCTTTCGCCACAGAATTCTTTAGGTTTAAATCTACTGTGACTGACCCAATGTTATCTAAATTTGAATAAGCCCTCCTACTAGTATTAGATAAAACTGTGCTGCTGCTGCCATATTGTTGACTGTATCTCAGCAGTTTAAAAAGTCAATTAACTAGATGTAGATTCTAGAGAACAGTGGGTTCTCTAGAAAATGGTGGTGATGTCTTTACACTCAATGAACACAAACTGATAATGATTAAGAACAAATACTATTCCAATGACTTTTCTAGGGTCTTTAGTAATCGACCCAACATTTCAGGCCAATCTTCAGTTAACAGATGTCTACAGTATGAACAAAAACTAAAACTAAATTTGAAAAATGCCTCTGGTAGAACAAATTTGAAAGCAAGGTACCTTCTCATCCACAAGTAGTACACACACACATATAACACCAAAGTTCTAGTC